TTGTTGCTTTTTTAATAGGGGTAGATTTGTTTATACCCTCTAATTGACGGGTAAATTTGTTCATATCCTCTATTTGAATGGTAGATTTGGAGGTTTTATCCCTTGCGAGGACATAAAAAAAGAAAAAAGAAATTTTAATTTCCTTAAATTTTTCTTGAAAAAGCATATAGATTAGAAAATAAAAATGTTATAATTACAATATAATGTAGTATTATAAGCTTAAAATAAGATATCACTACAAGAAAATGAGTTTTTTGTGATGATATAATCAATCATGGAAACCTATATTTTTTTGTTATAAATTACATTTGTATTTAAAATTTAATTTGTCACTATCTGTCACAAATACTAAGTCATTAAAACTAATAGTAACTAATTTTGCAATCATCACAAAAAATAAAAAGAAAAAGAAAAGATTTTAGTGGTAGAAAAAATAGATACAATTACTAACTTATCTGTAATAATTTTGTAAATCATAATTAAGATTATTTGTGTCAAAATAATTAGACACAAAAAGTGCCTTATTTGTAATCTTTATATCCTATCACAAAAAAGAGATCCTTTAGTGTGACAGAAAAAATTGTCACAAACTTTTTCTAATAAAATTTATAAATCATTAATAATTTTATCACAAATTAAAAAAAATGAATTCCTAAACAAAATTAAAAAAAATTTCAATATAAATTAATATAAAATTAACTACTACAATTGTTATTTATTTTTTATTTAATAGTTATAACAACAACTAATTAAAATATTCAAAAGCCCTAAAATAAAATTATTTGGCCCAAGCTCAAAACTTTAGGACTTAGAAGATGCATTAAATAAATGCTAAGCTCTTTTTTAATATAAAGTATTAGTAAATTAAAATTTTTGTTCTTAAACAGTGTGGGATTAAACACTTTTTTTATATAAAATGCTAGTAAATTTTACTTTTTATTCATGAGTAATGTAAGATCCTTTATTTTTTCATTCTACAATTTTACTCATATACCTATAAAAAAATAAAAGATGTATCAATAAAAAACTCATCAAATTAAATGCAAATTTCATTTTATAAAGCAATCTCAAATTAGCTATTACATATACTATTATTCACATATAATTTAACATGAAGTTTAATTACAATTTGATCTTGATTCGATTTTTTATCCATGTGGTTCCACAGAACTATAATAATGTTACTCTGCTGGAATGGAAATTTAATTCCAATCATGAACATTATTTATCTTACACTTTGAAGTAGATTATCTTATAGATGAGAATGAGATTGAACTATTGAAGTGGAATTATAAGTCAATATGCCTAAGTTCATGAAGAACGTGCATAATCTTTGTTTTGAGATTGTTAGGCCAAGAAAGAACAACCTCTACTTGATTTGTAATGATTATATATATATATATATATAATATGAAAATACTCAAGAAGTTGTTGTATCTAGGGAAAAAATAATATTAAAATTTAATATATTATATGCTTGTATTTAAGTTACAATCATCAAATTGAATACAATTTCACTCATGAAATTGCTGGTCCAAATATGCTCTGGAAAAATGGTGTTTCTATATATGATTATGTAAAAGAAAGCTATCCTGGTACAAGTATACGTTGTACACTTGTATTCTTGTATATATGCTTGAGTGATATAATCTTTTGTTGAGTTAATATAGTACATGAATCCAATATTAATATAATTTGTAAAAGTAAGAGTATTACTTATATTTCTACTCCAATAATAAAATTTGATGTTAAAAAAGTAAAAAAAATCCCTAAGAGTATGTAAAATCTTTGTATATGATGTGAAAAAATTCATTACTTTTTGTGAATTAATTGTGACAAAAAAATTTGTTACTTTTT